GATTTATTTTCCACCTTCTGGCATGCATGCATCTTGCCAAGATGCCTCAAGTAGTTGCTCCCTCTTGCTTCCCAGATCCAATCAATGTAATATCATCAATGTAATGGACAAACATGGTGTCCTATGAAGTGGAGAGGTGATCAAGTTCCCTGCAATAGCTGTTGATATGGCCCTGAGTGAAAGTGTATTGGTAGCCCTGCGACACATTCCCCAGAACAATAGCTGCAGGAGATTTGTTCCTTTGCTCCAGCAATAAAACTACCTCAGGAAGAGCAGCTGCAATTAGAGTCACCACCTGAATAAATTTACAATAATCTGCTGTAATTCTCCAAGATCCCATCTTTCTTCTGCGCAAACCAAATAGGTGAGCTGAATGGGGATGTCATAGGAATCATCACTCCTACATCAATCAATAATTTGGTGGTTGCACTAATCTCTGAATCTCTCCATGAATACAATATTGCTCCTGGTTTACTATTTTGGTAGGTAGATGTAGTTCTGGTGGCTTCCACTTCTCCTTTTCTACCGTAATAGCCCTCACTCCATGAGTTAGGCAACACTGTGGGGATTCTGCCAGTTTTTTAACACGTCTATTCTGTCTCTGTTTTCTGGAACTGGGGAAATAGTCAAAGGTTGGTTTGGGAACCCATCGGGCCCTCTATGAGATGGACTCATGTCAAAACTTTGTTGATCACCTCCACAAGCCCTTCCTCTGACTGGCAATTCACAGAGCATTTTGGGTCTTTAGGAATTAGGATCAGTTCAGAACCAGTGTCCAGTAACCAAAAAAAAAGACATGATTACTTCTCATATTTTTTTTCTCTAATTCATAGTCACTCTGGTAGATGGTCACAGGTAGCTTTGGGGAGGGCAAGGAGGAAGATGTACAGTACAAATTCTTGGCTATGTAACAAGGACCTTCCTCAGGGGCACTAAGTCCTCTTCATTCAAGGAGCTCTGGGTCAGTAAACTGGCTCACGTCTGGGAACTAGTTGAGATGCCTTGTGATGTTCAAGACCTCTGTTCAGCAGACCCAGAATGCTGCCACTTATGCAAATCAACTGAGACTTTAGTAGGCTGCCTGTCTATTTCAGTTCCAGGGACACCATGATCAATTAGCCAAAGTCAAAGACCTCTATTCGTCAAACTCTCTTGACTTCTGTCTCAACTCTGATACCCACTACAGTAACCAAGCCTACTTTATATCTGATAGCCTGGCTTCTCCCACCCTGGATCCCATCATCACCTTGGAACTCAGGGATCCCAGTTCAATAGCAGCAGTTCCTACTGTCATTCTAGACCTGCAGCAAACACTACAGTGTTCTTCACAGATGCCATTATGGCCCTCCCCAATGTATTTTTCATAGCTTTGGTGGAAAGAGTGCTCTACCACTCTCCTAAGACATACTTAGGGAGTGAGTAAACCAGTCTCACACAATAAATCCACCCTACCTTCTGATTTCCCTAAGCTTTGGATACCTTCCTCCACAGTATACCAAAGAAGTTCTGGAGACTCAATTTCACTTAGTATAGACCACCTTTGGCTCTACAGTCATGCATCACTTAACGATGGGGATACGTTCCGAGAAACGTGTCATTAGGCAATTTTATCATTGTGCAAACATCATAGGGTGTACTTACACAAACCTAGATGGTATAGCCTACTACACACCTAGGCTATATGGCACTAATCTTACAGGGCCACCATCATATATGCAGTCCATCATTCACCAACGTCATTATGTGGGGCATGACTGTATATTTAAATCCAACCAACTAGGTAAATAGTTAGAGCCACTTAGATATGCTTGATCTAATATGCTGACATTAGAATCTCTACTTAGTGCATCCCATCAACAAAGTCAGCCTGGCCTAACATTACCACGTTCCTTCTATCCTACACCAACTAATTAAGACCCATTTCCATTCATGTTTCTGTTGATATAAATCAGCAAAAATCTTGCAATTGTTTTGATATATATTGCAATTCCTCATGGCTCACACTTACCTCTGAGACCTACTGGGACTTGAGTCTGGTTACAGACCTAGAAGCAGTAAAAGGCCTTAAGGGACGGGAGGGGGTCAGCAGTCCCCTGCAAAGTAACTACCTCAGGGGATCCCATTACAGATTCTTCAGGCAAGAGAAGACTAACCTCCTCAGCTGGAGAAGATTGACTGCTGTTAATGGCAAAAGAGGATTGGAGGAATTCAGGGGTTCAAGGTCCCAGCTTCATCAGAATCTGCCCAAATATAGTCCCATCCCAATTTTCAGAGTCCCAATTAATGCCTTAACTTTAAATAAGAGATCCTGCCAGACTGGGAATTCAAAATGTGTTGCAAGCCACCCATAGGATTAGACATAGGTTTGGTTTTTAGAAATCTCAGACATGAGGTTTTATGAGATAAGAATTTCTTTTATGGCAGTCATAGAATATTTCTGGACCCTAACCTAGACCATCAGCTTGGAATTTAAAGCCCAAAGCTCATCATTTTCTTACGTTCTTTAGTACACTTATAGGCAATCAATTAACCCCATTATACTCCTTATTTCCACTAATATGTTTTATGGTGGCAAATATTTGGTCACCTAAAGTTTTGCCTTTGATTACAAATATCTACAGGGAATAATTTAGGTAACAGGTTTGCTACTGTGTGCCATAAATGATCACTTACAACTTACAACTAATTTCCTTTACCACTTACCACAAGGTAAGTAATACATTTAAATATATTCAGATTAGAGAACCAATAGTAGATAACCCAGGCTAATTTACAGAACCTACACTTAGGTTCCCCTGCACCCCCTTCCAGTGCCAATATCTCTGTTATTTAGAGTACAGTCAGGGAAGCAGAAGCACTATGAGTGATATAAAATAAGGGATTTATTGTAAGGATTGTATCTTATAAAATTTTTGGAACTGGTGAAGAAATCCTCTCTAGATCCTCCTTGTTGTTGTTTTCTTTTGTTTTGTTTTTACAGATCAGGAAAGCAGGGTGATATATGGAAAGATCATGTGATTTGAGTCAAACAGGTATGTGTTTGACACCTAGTTCTGATATATATTTGCTCTGAAATCTTGTCAAGTGACTCAAGTTCTCTGAGCCTCGGTTTCCTCATCTGTAAAATCAAAACAATAATACTTCTCAGGGTTGATGTGAGAGTGAATGAGATAAAGTACACACCTGTAATATACCATATTTCTTTGATTCCAAGATGCACAATATTTCCCATTTTAACGTCTACTACAGGAAATCGTCTTGTAATCAATGGCATGTTTTTGTCTAACTGAGAATACTTTTTTTCTTTCTAAGTGTTACATAAAATAATGAGGGCCCAGAGTAACATCTCAAATAATGACAGGTGCAGATATCACTTTATTATCAAACCAAACGTGACTCTCAGTGCACAAGTGGAAAATCCCAACACACCCTAGAGAACACAAGCGCTCTCCTTTATACATTCCATTCCTTTCTCTCTTCATTGGACTAACCCTTCATCCCACATCCCTTATTATTGAAATTAGTGGAATGAAAAAAGTATGAGTTTCAGAATCTGACATATTAAATTTTGGACCTTGCTGCTATGTAACATTCTGAGCTTCAGTTGAATGCTCCATAATTGTGTATAACACTTACCCAAAAGGACCGTTACAAAGATTAAATGAGACAATGCATGTAAAGTCCTATCAGTGCCAAACATAATGTGAGTAGTCAATAAATTCACCCTTTTTCCTTCTTTCTCTCACTGCCACATTCTATTCTTCTTCTGATTATCTGGATTGAAGGAAGAGCTGATCTCCTAGATCAGGGGGCAGCAAACTACAGCCTCCGGCCAAATCGGCCCATCACCTGTTTTTGTAAATAAAGTTTTATTGGAACACAGTTAGACTCATTGTTTACATATGGCTGCTTTTGTGCTACAATAGCAGAGATGAATAGTTGCCACATAGTATGGCCCGCAAAGCTGAAAATTCTTACTATCTGGCTATTTACAGAAAAAGTTTGCTGATACTTGTTCTAGATTCCTAAAGCAACTAAAAATTCTGCCCCCATTCGTGTTACTACTCTGCCTCTAGAAAGCTGCATTAGAAGAGATGCGTGCATGCCTCATCCTAGGAGTCAGGACTCTTGAGCTCTGACCACGGCTTCAATAGCAGCAAAACAGAGAGGAGAGTTGCGAGGATTTCTGATGAGGAAGCTAGTCAAGCCAGAGTGAAAGACAAAAATGTGACTATGTGGTTTCCAGCCCTCCCCGTTTCTTCTATTTCTGAGCTTATAAAAGCAGGGGCAAGGGAGGAGGGGACAGAAGAAGCTTACCATGGGCAGCCTCGCTGGGAAAATGCATGCCCTTCTCCTTTTGTTGGTCTTTCTCTGTCCTTCTGAAGCTGGAGCTGGTAAGTCCAGAGGGAAACTCCCTGTCCTCTGGTTCCTCAGCTCCTATTCCTAACTCACTGCCCTTAGTCGAAGAAGACCCTAAAATGAGATCTGTTGCAACTGTTCCAGGGGGAAATCTCTATCTGGAAGAGTCATACCCATTCCCTGCAGTTGATGACAGTTTCCCAGGGATGAGAAGTCTTGGATGGAGAAAGAATCAGAAAACTGGCTTTGGAAGTTCCTCCTTGTCTGTTTTCCTCAAAATATCCACAATTCTGCTGCATGGTCCTTCTCTGCCCTGGCTCTTGTGTGGAGAAGGCCAGGATGGGGACATGAAGAAATGTTTAAATGACAGCTCAGAATCAAGACAAGCCATTGTGTTCTGAGAAGTAGGATGAGGATAAATGGGCAGATGGGGGTGGAGAAGGCCAACAAAAAGGACGCATAGAGGGGCTGAGCTACATTAGGGGTAAGGGTGAGGTGGGGGGGGGTCCTTCCAGCAAAACAGAGGGCATCTCTGGGGGAACTTCTGATCAGAAAGACAGAGCTTAGAATGAGAGAAAAAAACATGACCACGCAGTTCCTGTGGTTACCAGCGCTGCCCTTCCCTCACTTGCTGGGAGTTATAAAACTCAGAACTGGGAAGTAGAAGCAGCCCCTGCCCCGGGGAGCCTCTCGGAGAAGATGCATCGTCTTCCTCTCCCCCTGCTGTTCCTTCTCCTGTGCTCCAGAGCTGAAGCTGGTGAGTCTCAGGGTTCGCCCCTCTGGAAGCTGCAGGATCAGCTCCTAAAACAAAGTTTAGCTTTCATAGAGCTCACCCTTAAACAGGATTCCAGGATCTCTCTTGAAGAGCCCAGAGTGAAGTTTCCACCTGGGATATGCCTCCCCATTCTCCGCATCCTATGGTACTTCCTACCATAGGCACAGGGAACCCCACGTTGACCAAGGGAAAGCCCAGTGCAGGAGGGAAGAAGAGGGGTGTCTGTTCAATATAATATGTGCTAATGTGGTATAAAGTCCTATGTTCTCTTCAGAAAAGTCCTAGCCTCTCTTTGAGGCTACACATCACCTTGTAATTTGGCCATTCTGTGACATTGCTTGCGGACTATAAAGAAGGTCAAGACAGGAACCTGGCGAGCTTGTCCCGCACAGTGAGAGAGGAGGGTTGAGTCAGGGGCAGAATGAGAGTGTGGGAAATGCAAGGTGGAAATGCCTGAATGACATCTAAGGCCAGGTTGGCTATTGTGCCTGGAGGAAGGGATGAGAATTTATGTGGGAGGCTGTGGGTGGGGAAAGCAGGTACCAGAGACACCTGAGAGGGAAGACGGGCAGACTACAGGGTGAGGATGAGATTCAAAAGAAGCCTTTCTCAAGCTTAACCGAGTTTGCACATTCTCTGGAGAGAGGACCGATGCCTATGTTCAGGCCCTGGGGTTCTCTGTTCCAGGGGAGATCATCGGGGGCACAGAGTGCAAGCCACACTCCCGCCCCTACATGGCCTACCTGGAAATTGTCACTTCCGAGGATAACCTGGTGTCTTGTGGTGGTTTCTTGATAAGACGGAACTTTGTGCTGACAGCTGCTCACTGTGCAGGAAGGTGAGACAACAGGGTCTTGTTTATCTACAAGTGGGAGATAAACAGCCAGGGTAGCACCCAGGGACACACTCGCAGGGGCCCTGAGGAGGGGCTCCTGGGCCTGGGTCACTTTAAGAAGAGGCAGTACTTGGGCTTAAGGAAATTGGTCTCATAATTGAATAGATGCCCTGATCCTCAGTCATTGTAAGCTCAGCTCCCCTACAAAGGAAAAGGAGGACCCATTCAGGCCTCCTTCCTCTAAAAGTAGCTCTCCTCACCCCAACCCCAACACATAAGACACGGGACTCACTTTTCAGGGCCTCACCCAGTTCCAAGGCCACTTTTTCTATGCACTTTTCAAGAACATTGGCCTTTAGTTCTCAAAGACCTGAACCCATTCTTTTCATGGGGGCAGAGAACAGGGTCCCCAGGAAACCCCACCACTTCCCCCTTTCCTCTGATATCTCTTGCTCCAGAGGGCTGGCCTTCATATAGGGGTCCCTGAATTAAGAAGTGCTAACCCTGTCCCCTGGGTCCTCCCTGGCTTGCTCAGTCCCCAGCAGTCCCCGAGGGTCCTGGAAATTGTCTCTGTTTCCTGAGAAGCTCTTCCCTGAATAAAATCTGAGTTCCCCAAATGTCTCAAGTGGCCCAGGAAAAGGGGGACAGGTAGAGTCCAGTAACCCTGTGACAGACTCCAGTCCCCTTTTCTCAGAATGGGTACATCTCAGGAGAAGCCCCAAACCATCACTGTTTCTCCTTGTCCCTCCTTATCCCTCACAACAGGTCTATAACAGTCACCCTTGGAGCCCATAACATAAAAGAGAAAGAAGACACATGGCAGAAACTTGAGGTCGCAAAACAATTCCCTCATCCAAAATATGATGACTTAAATATTCACCACGACATCATGTTACTAAAGGTGACAACATCTTTCTTCCCTTCTCCAGTTCCTGCTGTTAGGCTTCTCCTTCAGGTCCCCATTGCCCTAAAATTTCCCAACCTGCCTCTGGACTGAACCGCCTCAACTCCAACTCACCTCTCTGGACGTGGCTCTAACATGAAGCAATTTGCCCCGTCCCTCCCTGATTGCCTCCCACTGCCCCATAACCCATTTCTAGCACTGACAGCCCCTCATTCCCTTCACAGTTGCAGGAGAAAGCCAACCTGACCCTGGCTGTGGGGACACTCCCCCTTGCACCCCAGTTCAACTTCATCCCACCTGGGAGGATGTGCCGGGCGGCTGGCTGGGGAGTGACAGAAGTGGAGGAACTGGGCTCAGACACTCTGCAAGAGGTAAAGCTGAGACTCATGGATCCCCGGGCCTGCGGACACTTTACAACTTTTGACCACGACGTCCAGCTGTGTGTTGGCAATCCCAGGAAGAGAAAATCTGCATTTAAGGTGATCCTCAGACCAGGGTCCTTCTCCACAAATTACTGTTCAGGGTCCAGGCATCTCCTGGAAGGAGATGGGGTCAGAAGATTGTCAGCCAGCGACAGGGTTTGAGATGATAGGACTGAGGAAGGTGGAATTGCTCCTCTGCAGGTCTGTCTTCCTATGGCCCCACACAGTCTCTGACCATCCCTCCCAGGCTACTGCCCCCAGGGCACATGGGGTGACAAGAAGGAAAAAAAGAAGGGGTGTCAGACAGAGACGTATGACCCCATGAGGAGCCAGGGCTCCTGAGGCTGACCCTCGGTCTGACTGTGACTCAGACGTGGGACCTACAGGCAGGAGTGGATGACTTCCCTGGCTCACTTTCTGCTCTCTCTCTCTCTCTCTGTCCCACAGGGAGACTCGGGGGGCCCTCTTCTGTGTGCGGGGGTGGCCCAGGGCATTGTCTCCTATGGCCAGGTCAATGCAAAGCCCCCAGCTGTCTTCACCCGGATCTCCCATTACCGGCCCTGGATCAATGAAGTCCTGAAGGAGAATTAACCCTAGAGCCTGGGCTGGCCTGAGAAAACCTGGAACTGGACCCGAGCAGCTTCTCTGTGCCACTCGCTCTGAGCTGCCTCTGGTTCCTACTGAAGTCCTGCCACATACCTAAGCCTCAAGAAGTTTCCTCCAGGTCACAGAACTCTCAATAAACCTCAATAAAGATGCAGCTTCCAGACTTGAGTATGTGTCTTCTCTCTCTGATGCTCGCTTCTCCCAGCACATAGCAACCTGATCCCAGCCCAGGCAGCCTATAAGCTTTGAAAGGGGTGGGTGTGTGGGTGTGGGTGCAACAGAGATACAGAGAGACAGAGACAGAGAGGAAATAATGAAGAAAAAATAGGGAAAGAAAGAAGAGAAAGAGATTCCCCAGAGAGGCAGGATCCATATTTCCAACTTAAACAAGAAATTACACCAGATCCTTCCTTGCCTTAACCATCAACCTTATACCAATTCCAATTTATCTTTAGTAATATTCAGAATCACTAAGAACGTTTTGAATTGCAAACAAGATGCAGGATGTTTCCAGTATCCCTGACCTCTTCCCCTAGATGCCAGTAGCAACACTCCCCTCTCCACCACCAAGTTGTGACAACCACAAATGTTTCCAGATATTGCTAACTGTCCCGGGGTGGGGGCGGGCAGGGATCACCCTCAGTTGAGAACCACTGGTTTAGATACATGACATAGAGAAGGCAGTTGGTGCCACATAGGGCCCTCCTCACAGTCCACCTCGATCAGAGAAGATCCACCATCTGTGGAGCTTTGATCTGAGATGCAGAGAAGACTGCCTTTCACTCGTTGCTGCAAAACAGATACCTGGAGCAGATAAGAGGAGGGATGGCATCACAAGTTCTGCACGAGCGACACCAGCCACAAAGGGCTGCACCCAAATCAGCAGGAAGTTGAAAGCCGAGAGCCTGGTCAGCACAAACTTGTGCCAGTGAGGGACTGGCTGGAGGAGAGGAAACAAGGCAGGACACAGACAGATGCAACAGGAGCCCACAGCTGACACCACTCCCCTCTGAGGGTGTGTGAGCCCCTTCCATCAAGTGAGCTCTCCCTAGGAATTCGTCTTTAAGAAATAGTCAGAGATATACATGAAGATTCATGAAGAAAGATTTCAATCTCAGCATTTTTAATAACAGAAAAACTGAAATCCCAGCCATAAAACAGTTTAAATGGTAAATTTATATGATTGAATATTTTGAATTCATTAAAAATTTCTTTTCAAAAACATTTAATCATATGGGAAAATTCAATATAATATAATGCTTTTTAAAAGCAATATAAAAATCTCCCTCCAGTAGAATCTCAATTTTGTAATTATATATTTTATGTATGCATAGAGAAAAAATGGAAGTAATTATATCAGAATAATTACGGTGGTTATCTCTAGAGCATAGGATTAATAGCTACTTTTATTTTGTTTCTACACTGGCTCCAAACCCCATGCATTCTAACTGTTGGGGACTCAGCACCATATATCACCAGTAGATATGGACATATAACTATCCATTCTCCCATTGGTCACACAGGGAGCCACCACCCAGACCTGAGTCTTCACCTGAGACACTGTGAGCTGTCCCCCTCCTTCCCTCTCGTTGTTGCCCCAGCTGCTTCGTGCCCTTGCAATCCAGCTTGACATGGAGAATCAGTATATTGGGGAAATTAAGTTTCCTTATATGTTACAAATTATTTTTAAGTGGTTATATAGTAAATGATTACCGAAAAAAATCGAAAAAGAAAACAAAGAAGGTTTACCCAATTGCAAGAGGCTGTATAAAACATAGCTCTAGAATGTTCAGGAAAATTTGATTCTTTTTTTTTCTTTGGTGAGGAAGATCAGCCCTGAGCTAACATCTGATGCCAATCCTCCTTTTTGCTGAGGAAGATCGGCCCTGGGCTAACATCCGTGCCCATCTTCCTCCACTTTATATGGGATGCCGCCACAGCATGGCTTGACAAGCGAACCTGAGAACCCCGGGCCACTGCAGCAGAGCATGCGCACTTAACCGCTTGCACCACTGGACCGGCCCTGGAAAATTTGATTCTTATAAATATTATGCTCTGATTGCTCCATAGTTCTCTTCTCTCAACACACTGCCCATCACGCTTGAATTTATCTCAGCAGCTGTCCTTTCTCTAAGAAAAGTCTTTGCAAACAAATTATAGCCACCGTAAGTTCTTATAAGTGGAAATTTTTCTTTCCCTGGCCATTTGATGAAAGAAATTAAACAAGACACAAACAAATGGAAAGATATCTTGTGTTCATAGATTAGAAGACTTAATATTGTTAAAAATGTCTATTCTTCACAAAGTGATCTATACCTTCAATGCAATTCCTATCAAAATTCCAATGGCATTTTTTACAGAAATAGAAAAAACAGTTCTAAAAGTCATATGAAAACATAAAAGACCCCAAACAGCCAAAGCAATCCTGAGATAGAAGAACAAAGCTGGAGGCATCACATTTACTGATTTCAAAATATATTACAAAGTTACAGAAATTAAAACAGTATGGTACTGGCATAAAGATAGACAAATAGACCAATAGATCGGAACAGAGAGCTCAGAAATAAATCCATGCATACACAGTCAACTGATCTTGGACAAGAGTGCCAAGAATACACAATAGAGAAAGGGTAGTGTCTTCAACAAATAGTTGAGGAAACTGTATATCCACATGCAAAGAAATGAAATTGGACCCTTATCTTACACCATATACAAAAATCAAACTCAAAATGTATTGAAGACTTAAACATAAGACCTGAAACTATAAAACTCTAGAAGAAAATACAGGAGGAAAGTTTCATGACATTAGTCTTGGCAATGATTTCATAGCTATGACACCAAAAGCATAGGCAACAAAAGCAATAATAGACAAGCGGGATTATATCAAACTAAAAAGCTTCTGCACAGCCAAAGAAACAATCAACAGAGTGAAAAGGCAACCTATAGAATGGGAAAAAATATTTGTAAACCATATGTCCAATAAGGGGCTAATTTCCAAAATACATAAGGAATTCCTACAACTCAATACCAAAAAAAACTAATACCCTGATTTTAAAATGAGCTAAAGATCTGAATAGACATTTCTCCAAAGAAGACATACAAATGGCCAACGGGTATATGAAAAGATACTCAACATCGCTAATCATCAGGAAAATGCAAATCAAAGGCACAATGAGATATCACCTGACACCTATTAGTATGGCTGTTATCAAAAAAAAACAAAAGACAACAAGTGTTGTCAAGGATGTAGAGAGATGGAAGCCTTGCACACTGTTGGTGGGAATGCAAAATGGTGCTGCCGCTATAGAAAACAGTATGGAGGTTCCTCAAAAAGTTAAAAACAGGGCTACCATATGATCCAACAACCCCACTTCTGGGTATATATACAAAAGAATTTAAATGAGGATCTCAAAAAAATATTAGCATTCTCACATTCATTGCAGTGCTATGCACAATAGCCAAGATGTGGAAACAACCAAAACGTCTATCAATATATGAATGGATAAAGAAAATGTGCTGTATACATACAATGGAATATTATTCAGCCTTTAAAAAGAAGGAAATTCTGCCATATGTGACAACACGATGAATGTTGAGAACATTATGCTAAATGCCAGTTTTATATAATATATAATTATGCCAGCCACAGAAGGACAAACACTGCATGATTCTACTTATAGGAGGTATCTAAAATAGTCAAATTCCTAGAGTCAAAGAGTTAAATGTTAGCTGCCAGTGACTGTGGGGAGAGGGAAATGGGGAGTTGCTAATCAACGGGCATAAAGTTGCAGTTAAGCAAGATGAATAAGTCTTAGTGACACTGTACCTATAGTTAACAATACTGTATTATACACTTAAAAATTTGTTAAGAGGGTAGATCTCATGTTAAGTGTTCTTACTACAATAAAATATATTTCTACAAAAACTTTTGGGGTACAACAAAATGGGGCTTAAGGGGACAATTATAGCCCTAAAAGCATGTATTTGAAAATAAGTGCTAAAAATTAATGAGGTAAATGTTAAAACCAAAAAATGAGAAAAAAGAAAACAACAGGGTAAAGTTATTCATAGAAAGTGAAAGAGAGAAAATAACAGAAATAATCACAGAGAATAATTGAATTAAAATCAAAGAAACAGTAGAGACTCAGGGTAAGGAAAAATTTCATAATGACACACAAAAAGTATAAACTAAAATGAAAAAATTTAATTTGACCTCATTAAAATTTAAAACAACTGGACTGGATAAAGAAAGCATATTGAACACACACAGGTATTTTTTTCCTCCCTCCAGAAACCACTCTAAAATGGCAGCAAAGAGATTTTTTAATAGATTTCTATCTCTCAAGAGAAAGAGAGAGAATAAAGAGGAGACAATATCAACAGAATTTTGGAAGAATGAAGTAAAGACCTGACAGTTTCTATGCCAGCAGGAGGGAAAGTTGAAAACCAACCTGATGCCCGGCCCCGTGGCTTGGTGGTTAAGTGCGCGCGCTCCGATGCTGGTGGCCCGGGTTCGGATCCCAGGCGCGCACCGAGGCACCACTTCTCCGTCCATCCTGAGGCCGAGTCCCACATACAGCAACTAGAAGGATGTGCAGCTATGACATACAACTATCTACTGGGGCTTTGAGGGGAAAAAAAAAAAAAAAAAAAAAAAAAAAACTTTAAAAAAAAAAAAAAAAAAAAGCAAACCAACCTGATTTACATTATAGAATCCCCAAAAGGAATTATTAGTAGCCATTTGAAGAATATCAGACCCGCCACTCCTCACAGCTGGACTGCCTCTCCATCACTCCAGTAAAAGGCTGGAGATTTATTCACTGGAGAAGAGAAAACAGAGAGTCTCTGATTTGGGATTCAAAATGCAAAGTTGAAGGTAGGTGTACTACGCTGAAAATAGGAGTAGTAAGTAAACTGTGAACACTAGATTATGAGACACATCATCACTCCTCCCCCAATCCTCTTCCTCTACTAGGCTCCCAGAACACTGGCATTCTGGTCTTCACCCTCCAGGAAGGACATAAGAAGCATTTTCTTTGGAGACTCCAACTAGCCCAAGAGGAAGGAACTGAAGATACTAATATCCGAGGCTCCCCAACTAAGGATCCAGCCAGAGGACCCCATGGGTAAGTTTGCAATTAACGAGCCTGATTTA